AGAGAGAGAGAGAGAGAGAGAGAGAGAGAGAGAGAGAGAGAGAGAGAGAGAGAGAAACCATTTTACTGTGAACATTTATGAAGTTTTAAAAAGCTCTGCACCTACTTGTGTTCTGTGCCAGATAACAGATGCCCTGGAGTGACCTAACTTGTTTCGACAAGGTCCTTTGTCATAATGTATAAGGAGAAAATCATCCTATGAAACATTAAACAGAAACATTAGCAATTAATAGAGAGTCTCTTTTCCTTCAAGATGGAGCAGACAGTGGTAGCAAAATAACAAAATATTACAGAGGGGAGCAAGTTTGAAGATCCCTGCAAAGCACTGAATATGAAGAGAAAAGTTTCAGAGTGAAAAACCAACTGAAATTGGATTTGTATTCTTGCATGGGTCAGCGCTGAACAGCCCTTCCCAGAGTTGCTCCCCACCGGGTTACTATGGAAGTGATTTCATAAGATGGAACATAATACAAATAAAGCACGTGTTGGTAATAAAGAGAATGAATTGTGCTATGCCTGGAGGAAAAGCCAATGCAGATCAGAGTAAAGCACTGTGGGAACCTTTCAGCAAGACGACAACAGTAATAAACAAAAAATGAAGAACTAATATCTCTATTTTCATGTCTTTTAGATTTCCATGCACATCAAGTTAATATTGTACTCCCCCTTCCTTTTCCCTGTTTGATATCAGATCATGTGGATTTCCCTGTCTAGCAGAGCTACTGGGTCTCAAGTGCAGCTAAGAATCCTTTTTCTCAGGAAATAAAAAGTTCTATCTTCTAACCAGGGAATGAACTGAAAAGAAAAGTGAAATCATATGGATAAAAACATTTTCAAACCTGATTATTAAGGTGCTTGACTGTAAGCAAACAGACTGGTTTTCATAGGTGCTGTGCACCCACAATTGGAGTCAATAGAGTAGTTAGTGCTCATCACTTCTGAAAACCAACCTGCTTATTTAAATGCCTAAATAGGAGTTTAGGCAACAGAATTTGAAAATACTGGCCATGCTAGGTATAGAACATGGGAAGAGGAAAGCTACTTCTTGGATCCCAAGCCTCTCAAATGTGGCACTTATTTTACAGCTGGGAAAGCAAACCAAGGCAGATATCTACCCAGTTCTATAGATCTGGATTGGTCACACTTCAGTACAGCAACCAACGCAGGCACAGGGGACCTCTAATTTTAACTAAGTATGGGAGTACCCATGATTTAAAACTTAACCGTAAGGCACTCAAACATAACAATTGCAGGATTCGGAATAGTTAGGGAACATTTTTGGGACATGAAACACTTCCTCTGCCATTGTTAACTACACTTTGCAATAAAACGTTTCCTTGGCTAATATGTGGAAACAGATGTAGCATATTGTATATACTCCAGTGCTTGGGCACAATAAGATATTGGCTTGTTTGTTCTTCATACATCAATTCACTGGCTTTTTCTCTTACTTTGTCCTGAATAACCAAAACAAATTAACATCAAGAAACAACTCTCACTACTGAAGTTCAGCACTAAAATGAATACTGACACTCTACATGGGATTCTGTATTTAGGGCTACCTTACACTATCATGCAGAGCTGAAAGAAATACAAATATATTCATCCTGCAAACACTCTTTAGAATATAAATTCTTTAGGAAGGAGCTGTCTGATTTGTGTGTAAATGGTACAGTATTCAACACAAAGTGAGAAACAAACTACGTAGCTGCCACATGGAGATGGCAAAGGAAGAATAATTTTCATCCAATTTCAAATTACACTAACTTCTTTCCATCTCATTTATGCAAAGGGTGAACAGCAGAACAGCTCTTCAGGTGGGGCAAATAAGATCAAGTGCACAAGTAACATCAAGTAACCAGCTAAGGTCCAGCTCTGCCCTTGCCCATGCATTTTATCAGAGAAATAGGTGCTAACAGTAGTGTTACAAAAGGTTCAGAAGAAACACAGAATGTGAAAGAGCAGCTAGTGAAGATATCCATAGGACAGTCTTAAGTCAGCATAACAAACTTGTAAGCTTACAATGTCCACCAAAGCATGCAGTGTATACTCACATCAAGAGATTCCAGACAGTACCAGCAAAAGGCATGTTTGCAGTTTTTACACATCATTTGGGCACAACCCTCATCTCGCTCGATATAAACTTTGCACTTTGGACAGCGTTTGATGGGAGCATCATCATCTTCCATTTTATACATAGAACTGTGGGAAGACATTTGCAGAAGTTTATAAGGTGTGTACCCGTGCATGTTTGAAACTAAAATAACATCCTAATTGAAAAAAATCTGGGTTTGCATTTTAGTTTTGTTATCCGTTTTTTTTGTTTGTTTTGTTGTTAAGTACCCGGAAAGCAGCTCTAGTACAACAATTAATTTTTATAGTGCCTATCGAACAGCTATGCACTTACCAGACAAAACACGTTTCTCTCATCTACCAATTGTTTTCTGTGACCTGGTGACGTCAGTGTGTACAATGCTCTCAGCTGTCAGCAGAGCACGTGGGAACCAATCTGGAGTCAGGTTTTTACATGCCTAGTCCATCTGCCTTTCTCCTCCTCTTTTGTTTCTTATGGGAGAAGGAGAAAGGATCTCAATGTGGAGAACAGGGAGGCTGACAATGCCCAGCTGACCCAGGCTATGGCCCACGGGCCTAGGGATTCCCTGGATGAGAAGGCAAAGGGAGAGACTGAGCGTCTCTTGCTTCCATGAGGCTCCTCTCCTAGGACTCTCCCCTCCAACCCAAAGTCCACTGGGTTTACCTGGATACCCTGTTCCTCCAAGGCTTGCCTCCTCTGTCACAGTTCAGGGCAACTGCATCTGCAGTTCCCTTCTGTGATCCACTGAGAGCACCTACTTAAAAACTCCCAGTTCCTCAGCTGTCACTCTCTTGGGTAGACTCCATCCTAACCAGGGTTTCTCCAGGCTGCACAGTTCCCTGCCTACACTGTGATTTCCCCAGCAAGCCAGACTGCCTAAACAGGCCAGCATCTGCTTTCTCTCCAAAGGACAGGAAAAGAGGAATTGCCCCCAGCTATAAGTTACCACACAGCTCTTTATAAACAAGCACATTTATTCTTACAGTGAAAGCATTATAGAGAAAATATATAAAAACAATAAAAGTTCCTGTATGCATGCTAAAAGCTTACCAGGGGTCACCCCTCAGTTTTGTGGGGCCTCAGTAGGCCAAAGTCCTTCCAAACCCTCCCAGGAAGGATTGGCCCCACCCCATTTCAACAGTAGATCCTGTCCATTTGCTGGATCAGAAAGAAGGTCCTGAGTCAGTTTAAACTCAGGGTATTTATCCCTTTCTTTGTCTCTTGATCTCTGGAGAATCCAGTCTGAACCATCAGATACGAGCCTCTGCAAGTGCTGGCCCCCTTCTGGAGGTGTTACAACCTGAGTGAACTTGCGTCATACCCCCTACTGTTCTTGGTTCCTGGAGGAGATGTGGTCACTCTCCCGCAGGGAATTACATGCAATCCCTGGCCCACAACGATACATAAACTTCATACAGTAAGATCTCCCCAGAGATATTGCAGGAAATTGCCTTATCTCTCATATTCCCTCTCTCCAGTGCTGGCAAGGAGCTGTTGAATCGTAGTGCAAACACCTAGTTCACAGTGCTGCTTCTCAATCTCACTCCTGCCTGCAGTACCATCACACAAAAGTGGAGGTTCACACCACATGGAATGGGGGTCCATGTCAAGGAGCAGGAGTGAGAGGGCATCCAAGAAGCATTTTTTCTTCCTTGATTTCCTGGAAGAGTCTTCAAGCTCCACCTGCTCAGTGAAGGCTTTAGGACTCTGTAAGGTCTGGAAAAAAGGATGGTGCCTCAGACAAAGGTGTTGACAGCACCTACTCCAATGGGAGGCAGGAGAACAACAGAGGAGGATTCCCAGCCTGTAGGATGATGAGAGGTGGGGAGGGGACTGAACAAAGTCCTGACTCCAGATTGGTTACTACTTCCTGACCGATAGATCAGAGGAGACACATACCCGTGAAAACCACACCATGGGGAAATGTTTTGAACACACAAATTACATTTGTCATTCCCAGCACGTGCTGGCACAAACTGCTGCTGGGACAATGGTCGCCAGCAAGTTGCAAGGACAACCGCCAAATGTTCTAAACCTACAGAAAAGAAACACAAATCAAGCAAAATGCTGAGCAAAACATAAAAGTCCTGTATCATGCCATGAAGCTCACCACACTTGCGCCTTGGCCGAGCATGAGTGAGAGCGTGTACCAAATCTAGGGGTGCTGAGAGTCCCATTGCAGGCTCTGTAGGGTTTTACCCAGGAATTGAGAACAAGAGCAACCTAGCCAGTCAGCTGTCACTACAAGATAGCGAGGGAGAGGCAGGCTTGAGAATAGCCAAGTCCCAGACCATTCATGGCTTTAACGATCATGACCAACATCTTGAATTGGTACAGGAAGTGAACAGGGAACCAGGGATGAAGCCTGAGCACAGGTGTTATGTACACACAGTGACCTGCCCTATTCAGGTGGGCAGCTGCATTCTCTACCTGTGGAAATTGCTAACTGGTCTTCTAATGCTGCCTTAAACAGGGCTCAAGAATCACTCCCTCGCTCCTGGAAGAGCAGCAGTCATGGTGCAACTGACAGAGGCCTCCTAAAATAGCCAACCAGAATCAACCAACCCTCAAGCCCCTGGAACAGCAGCAACAGTGGGGGTCAGGGGGACCTGAGGTGGCTGAATGTGTCATTGGCATCAATGGAACAACAGATGGAACAGATGGATGGGCAAGCAGAGCTGCAGGTGATGCCAGGAGCCTGGTTGTCCCTCTGTGCTTGCTCCACCTGCTCCCTTATGGTGGTGGTGGGGCAGCCAAGCCACCAACGGAGCCACCACCATCCATCTCTGTATCAAGCACAGTGTCTTAAAAGAAAAGAATTGGAATGGCTGCTGAGGACAATCGCTTAAAAAAACAAACAGGAGAAAATGGCCTCTTGACTGGAGATGAGGTTATATTCCTCTTGTTACGCATCAAGTAGCTGTGTGCTGCTGCCACTGGGCAAGTTACAGTACTGTACCTTGTTTCTCCTGGGAGGAAGGTGATTGGCATATTCTCTTGACAGCCTTGTCCTGGATGCCAATTGGATTTACAAGATGAGCAGAACTCTATGTCACAAGCTTTGCATTGGACCAGCTGGGGATTTTGAGGCCCTGATTCTTGTAGTTGGCAAACTGCCTGGCAGGCAGAAGATGGACACCAAGTCCGACATGGATCCAAAAGCACTTCTGCAAAAGAGTATAAAATAACCAGAATCAATGACAGCTACAGGATTGTCTTTTAATTATATACGGCTTAAGAATGCTCACATGCTCAGATTGTTCATCAGACCAGCTATTTTCAAAAGAGGCCTCCAGTTTTGTTTGCCCAGTCTGGCACACTTATGGCCTGATTTGCAGATGTATTCAGCATCAGAGATATCTAAAATTAGAGACCACTTTTGCAAATGTGAGCCTACCTTCCTAACACTGCTCTTCTGGAGATTGCCTGAACTAATTGCTTTTACATTGTTCACGGAATCACAGAACGATAGAGAACACAAGGGTCATGTAGTCTAACCCCCGTGTCAAGATGCAGGATTTGTTGGGTCTAAACCATCCAAGAAAATGTCTATCCAGCCTCGTGAAAACCTCCAGAGAAGGAGCTTCTACAACCTCCCAAGGCAGTCTGTTCCATTGTCCTACTGTTCTTACAGTTAGGAAGTTTTTCCTGAGATTTAATCTAAATCTGCTATGCTGTAGTTTAAATCCATTGCCTCAAAATAAATCAATTTTTCTCCAATCTTTTTTATGGCAGCCTTTCAAGTATTTGAAGACCGCTATCATGTCTCCACTTAATCTCTTATTTTCCAAACTAAACATACCCCCAGTTCATTCAGACTTTGCTTATATGGCTTGCATTCCATCCCTTTGATCATCTTTGTTGTTTGCCTCTGAATCCTTTCCGGTCTCTCTACATCCTTTCTATACAGTGGTGACCAAAACTGGACACAGTACTCCAGCTGAGGCCTAACCCGCGCTGGGTGGAATGGTGCTATCACCTCCCATGACTTACATGCTATGCCTCTGTTAATGCAACCAAAAATTGCATTTGCCTTTTTTGCCACAGCATCGCACTGACGACTCATGTTGAGGTTGTGATCCACCACAACTCCCAGATCCTTGTCAGAAGTGCGGCTGCCAAGCTAGTTATTTCCCATTCTGTATTTGTGCATTTGGTTTTTCTTCTCTAAGTGTAGTACCTTACCTTTGTCTTTGTTGAATTTCATATATAGCCCAGTTCTCCAGTTTCTCAAGATCCCTTTGAATTTTAGCTCTACCCTTCAAAGTGTTTGCAAACGCTTTGTGTCATCTGCAAATTTGATCAGTATGCTCTCTATACCCATCTACAGGTAATTAATAAAGATGTGAAATAAGAGTGGCCCTGTAACCGATCCTTGTGAAACCCCACTTGAGACCTCTTCCAATCTGACACAATTCCATTAATAGTTATTATTTGTTTGCAGTTGTTTAACCAATTATGTATCCACTTAATGGCAGTTCTACCAAGCCTGCATTTCTCCAGCTTACTTATCAGAACGTCAGGTGGGACCATGTCAAAACCCTTGCTAAAGTCCAGGTACATTATATCCATTGCATGCCCCCTATCCACCAAACCAGATACCTCGTAAAAGAAGGAAATCAAGTTGGTTTGGCATGATTTGTTGTTATAAATTCATGCTGGCTGCTAGTGATTACTCCTGCATCCACCAGGTATTTGCAAATTGAATATTCTATACATTGTTCTAATACCTTCCCAGGTACCAAGGTCGGGCTGACTGGTCTATAGGTCCCCAGTGCCTCCCTTTCCCCTTTTTTAAAGATGGGCACTACATTAGCCCTTCTCCAGGCTTCGGGAACTGTTCCTGTCATCCATGAGTTTGCAATTATTATTGCCAGTGGCTCGGAGATTTCTTCAGCTAATTCTGTCAGCACTCTGAGGTGAATAGCATCAGGCTCTGCTGATTTGAATTCTGACCAATCTGAATGATGATCTCTGACGTGTTCTTTACTTACCCTGATCTGCATCCCTTCCCCTTTATTGTCTGTAATAACTTTGTTAGTCAAAGTTAGTGTTCACTTTTAACATATGGATTAAAACGGTCTCTGAGAAGGGGAGGGGCTATTTTAAATTTTATTGAACAAAATTATACTTATACAGTTAACAGAGCTTATTTCAGATTTTGTAGGCATGTGAAGTTCTCACCCAGCTCAACAGAAGTGTTTGTACAGCGCCCAGCCCAAGGGGGCCCCATTTAAAGTTGATTGGTAGGCACTGCCATAATAAAGATGACAAATTAATAAAAAAATAAAAATAATACAAAAGAACATTATCTAGTTTTCCTGGAGGCTGGTTTACTGGTAATTCAGGGCCTGATCCAAAGCCCATTGAAGTCAGTGGAAATAGTCCCATTGAATTCAATGGGTTTTGGATCAGTCGCTAAAAGAACCATAACCAAACATAATCCTCATTCTAAATTCTCTCCCCTAGTGTTAGCGGTTCTCAAGATATTCCACCCAGACTCAAGTTCCCTTTGCCTCCTAGAAAGCCACATAAATCCCTCATATTCAGATTAGAATCAACAAGATGCACCTGTCACTATGCCTCACCAATAATTACCCCAGACCTGAAGAAAGTTCTGTGTAGCTTGAAAGCGTCTCTCTTCCACCAACCGAATTTGGTCCAAAAAAAGATATTACCTCACCCACCCTGTCTCTCTGCTCCCCTGGGACTCAACACAGCTATAATACTGCAAACACTAATTATCTTGCAGGATTCCAGCACCCAAACTTAGACTGGCTCCATAGAGGACCCCAGCATTTCTATACAGAGTCCTAGGTACTGCCATCCTACCATTAGTGCTATATAAAGCATACAAGTGCATGATGCCCAGAGAATTCCCCCTTTCAGTAACATATTAATACAATATGCAGCAGTTTTCTGTCTGCAATTCAGTTTCCATCACATGGTACATGGCAACATGCACGCACTAGCAGGACCTGATAAAGGAAGAAACAATTTGAGCTTTCTTCCACTCACAAATCATATAAGGCTCCAACACTACTGTATAAACACACACAGGACCACAGTCTCATCTCTGTGACATGGATCAATCTGGGGGTAACACTATTCCCATAGATTTGGAAGCCAGCCATTGGTCTGGAGTAAAGGCTGATATTTCATACTGTACCTCTTTCAAACTGTAGCTTCTTGTACCTTTGCATGATTTCTGATGCAACCATACACTCAATCTGTTAAAATAAAAAAGGAGAAATTACAAATTAGAACAGCAATAATCCAAGGCATTCCAAATGAATGGAGACCCAGCATTTAACCTTTATAAATGATTAAATCATATGCTGACAATAAACAACAGCTATAATATGCCCTGAGCAAGACACGTCTGAATATACTGAAAGAACCAACGTGCAGTAAAAATATACCTCATTTTCTTGTAGATGACCTCGTTTTGGGCAGGAAGCATCAGGGCAACTAATTGCTGTTTCTAGACCTTCTTTGATCAAAAGTTCCACATACTGTTTCAGGCACTGTAAAAGAGGAGGGTGTAACTATTCTTCCAAATATAAATTATTCTGCATATCATTCATGCTTTGACTAGCTCATCTGAAGATTTAAAATCACTTTACAGAGGTGGGTAAATATCTCCTTTTCACAACTGGGGAAATAGACAAACACATTCAGAGACTTTCCAAAGTTATACACTAAACTAAATAAGTGACAGGAACTAAATCTCCTGAAATACATTTCCATGCTCTATTCATTAGACAGCTCTGCCTCAATTACAAATTACACAGTAAATAAGAGGCAAGTAAAATGGAATGTTAGGAAAATAAAAGATAAAATTAGATTAACCAGTCTTCATAAATCCCTCAGATTTATATCACCGGAAACCATAACAGCTTACCAAGCAGTAGCTACCCATTAACAGTCATCTGTCAAGTACAACAGAATGGGAAAGGTTATTTGGCTTGTTTCCCATTACACAGAAAATAACTAACTGAACTTCTTGGTGAGGATATATTTCATTCTCAGTGTGAAGGAAGAATGCACAAATGAGGACTCAAAAAAGAATAGCTATTTCCATATGAATGTCCTGCACAATAAAACAATTATAAATTAATAAATAATAAAGCTGCATATATATAGTAATCTTCATCCCAAAGGATCCCACTGAGCTTTAGAGAAAGCAGAATTGAAATTATGGTCTCTAAAAGGGTGATATATGGCAAAACACACAACTGGAGGGAGAAAGGGGTGGTTTGGGCAAAGGGCAAACCTCTTCGCTTATGAAAAGAGCCACACAGGGATCAGATTAAGCCAATACCATGTGATGTACTGGCTTCTCTTTTTGGCCCTTAGCCAGTCTTATTTCGCCTCAGCTGCCATCTTGCCCTGGCTCTCTCCTCAGTTCCCCTCTTACCAGCTGCCACCTTCTTGATTTATGATGTCAGAACCATAGGCCAGTGGTAGAAATTTTTGAAACCTGGCTGTGTTTAATTTTTGAGTTAAAGGCTTGATCCAGATCCAGCCCCCTCCCCAACCTCACCCTCACACTGTGCCATGTGGAAGAGAGGGCTACCACCACATCAATCTTCCCACAATCTGCCTTGGAACAGGGAACGGCCGAGTCAACCCTGCTGGAATATAAACCACTGATTCCAGAGAGCCTAGGTAAAGCTCAAACTACTACCCCCCCCCCC